TCATTCCCTCTATAAGGTAAGGGGTACCAGATGGGAGGTAGTTTCCAACCTCTAGTAATTTCCTCATTTAATCCTGATAATCCCTGGGTAGGTAAATGGAATATCATCCAAAATCTAACCAGAACAATAGGCACAGGTCCAGCCGAAGGACACCAGGCAGGTGCCAGCTCTCCTTGGCCCTTGTTACTGCTTCGCCTTTTGTTTTATTTTTAGCCTAATTTCCCTTTAAAAAGCATCCTGTAAAATAATGAAGAGGATACAAAGTGCAGGGTCTGTAGGGAGAAAATGTAGCTTTAAAAGTGTTCCTATTGATGGTTGAGGACGAGATTTGTGAGTCTCCACACCCATTCTATTCCCTTTGAAACTCCTTTTCTTGTGCTGCCCTATGCCAGTTTGGAGACCAGCACTCTGGCAAATTGATCTCAAGATCAGAGGGATGAAAGAAAGATCAAAAGGAAGCCTCATAGGAAGGGTACCAGAGCATCGGGACTGGGCAGGCTGACAGCCAAACATATCATTTTTTTTCTTTCTTTTCTTGAAACAGGGTTTCACTATGTAGCCCTGGCTGGTCTAGAACCTGCTATGTAGATCAGGCTGGCCTCTTACAGGTATCTGTCTGCCTATGGCTCCTGAGTCTTAGGATTAAAGGTGTATGCCACCACACCTGGCTTACATTGTCATCTCTAATCCACAGGTGACTTTTCTAGGAAGGATGTGATATAAAGTGAAGAATGTTCTGTATACAGGGATATTTGATATGATTACCTATTTAAGGAAGTAATTGGCTAGGCTTACTTGAACAATTACATCAGCATGGATGCAGACACCTCATATAAAATTTGAAATTTAGAAATGTAAGCGTGGTATAGTTGATGTCCTTGATACATTCTCCCTCCTCTGTCCCATGAGAAGACAGCCCTGCCTTGTTTTCCCTTGTCATTCAAGTTACTTCTTTGTAATGATATCCTCTTAGGGCAATGTTTCTTTTTTGTAAAACCATTGGAAAGGCTTATGAATTTCTGAAGGCTCAGACTATATACAATTACTAATTTTCTTACTAAGAAAAGAGTTGATTAGGGCTTCATTTCTGGATATTTCTACCCAAGTGCAGCTCAGTCTCTGGTCTCATAGTCCCATGCCTTAGAAGACAACTATAGCCCATCTGTCACCTGCCAGGCACAGAACGTTGGCGACTCAGAGACAATGACTTGGGGTTTGCCCAGAAAATATCCTCAGGGTAGTTAGAAGCAGTGTGGGTGCCAGCAATTGTAGTCAGGGTTGGTAAGAGCTCTAATTAAAAAAAAAATATATAGAGAATAGTGGTTAGCAGAGGCTGGAAGGATAGGGTAGAATAGAAGATGGTTAATGGGCACAGGGGTAACTGGATAGGAGGAACTATCCAGTTCCTTACTTTGACATAGTAAGATCAGTCTACCTCAGGACATTGCATATTCAAAATAGCTAGTAGAAAACATTGTGAGTGTTCCCATCACAAGAAGTAATAAATATTGGGGATGATGGCAGCAATTACTCTAATCTGATCCTTATATATTATACACAGATATTGAATATCACACTACCCACAAATATGTACGATTATTGTGCTAATTGTTTACAACCTCATTTTGCGCCTATGAGTCAGAGGTAGGCAGAAATGATGGGGGACAAACAGGCTCTGATGGAAATCCTGACCAAGACATAGCAATAGAAGTCAAGGAAAGATGGACTCATGTGCAACCAAGGAGGTGAAGCCTACAGGACAGGTGTCTGGTTGGACTTGTGGGGGAAAGGTATTGGAAATGGAATTTACATCTGAGTGGAAAGTAGTGCTATTCCATGAATCAGGGAATTCTGGGGGACAGATGTGCTGGGGCAGGGAGGGAGGGCAACACCAGATTGTCATTTTGGAACATTACTAAAATATGTAATCCCATGGGATAGCCTCATGGATACACCTGATAGCTGTTCTAAATTGAAGCCCAACAGCGATGTGCTGGCTGGAAGGACCATCTGAAATCTCAATATATAGATGTTGACACCATGCAATCATTCAGTAAATGTCAGGAGTTACATGAGCATCTTCACAAGCATGTAACCTTGGAGTCGTGTAGAGCCCACTTTAAGGGATCCCACATTTGGTTTAATGCCCTGATGTTGCCATCTTGAAGTTTTCAGTTGTGTGTATGTATGTGTGTGTGCACATATGCGTTCATGCACATGGAGGGGGGTAAACATGTACACTAGGAGGCCAGAGGTTGATGAATGTCTTCCTCAGTCCACTCTCCATCTTATTTTTAGAAGACAAGGTCTCTCACTGAACCTGGAGCTCACTGATTCAGCTAGGCTGGCTGGCCAGTGACCCCGGCGATCCTCCATCCTCAATTCCCCAGCTCTGGGATTACAGGTGCACACTGCTATGCCAGCTCTTTTACATAGGTGCTAGGCATCAAACTCGGGTCCTCATACTCTTGTGACAAGCACTTTACTGACTGAACCATCTCCCAGTTTCAAGTTTTTAATTTTTAAACAAGGAGCCTCGTGATTATATTTCACACTGGACCCTGAAATTATGTATCCCATTCTGCCTACCATGGCCTGACGCTATGTGCAGTGGGACTAGAACATGAGTCAAGTCAGACATGGTTGTTATTTTAGGAGCTTATACATTAGCATGGATGACAGACAGATCCTCAGTTGTGTGCTCCTCTGTATAGCAACAAGTGGCAGATTAAAGGGGCATGCAAGAGAGGAGTCTAGCTTAGCCTTAGGGGTAAGGAGCAATGAAACGAGATTGCCCACTGGGTGAGAGTAGTGAGACAAATTCCTCATCCCCAGAACCAGAGGAGAGTATGCCCTGAGAGGTAAAAGGGAACCTATATGAAGGAGGCGATCCCGAGAGCCAAGGTTGGGAGTGACTATCAAATTCTGCCATGGGATCTTAACAATGACATATCCAGTAGAGATCCAGTACAGAGCCAGTAGATTCTTCTGGCAAAAGCGGGATGGACAGGGAGACCAGAAGTGAATCCACCAGTGTTTGAGACATCAATGGGGAGTAAAGAAACAGGCTCTGAGAGTACATTGTTGTTAATGTGTGAGCCTTTCCTTAATAGGAAAAACGAGGATACTCTCTGAAGGCAGGTCTTAGACTAGGAGAGCAGTATGGATTTGGCTGTGACTTCATTTTGTGTGGTTTTAAACATACTGCTTTTGAGCATGGTTTTATGCTATGGAAAAGACTGTCACTGGAGAGAGAAACTGAAAATAAAGGAGACTAGGTGGTGAGAGGAGCTGCTGAGTTTCCAGTGGAGGGCTCTTGGACATGTAAAGTCAAGTCTGCAATACTTAACTGAGCATCCACTGCCTCTTGGCTCTGTTCTCTCCCTCATGTTCAAGGAAATTCTCCCAAGTTCTCCTGACTTCCTTTGATAAGTAATTTCATGGCAAGTGGTAGTTTGCCTTAATTAGCTTCCCTAAACTTTCCCATTTCCCTACATTTCTACTGTTTTTCCTTCTGAAGCCATTGAGTCTATAAAACCTGTAAGATTTGTGTTGTTCCCCACCCCCAACCTGTGCCCCTCCACTAGTTCCTGTGATGGTAGTGACTAGGGCACAGCTGCCACTGGTGCAGAGAGGTCAAGGATGGGGTCAAAACAGCCAAAGCCATGTGTAAGGATTGTTTCTAAGTCAGAGACTGCCTCTCCAAGGGCTTATTGGTACAAAAAAAATAGCAAGGTGTCCCCCAGTGCTGAGCTCATGAGAAGCATTTGCCGTGTTTGTGGGTCTTCCCTCAGAAGTGTATCAGGAAGGCTAGGGATACAGTTCAGTAAGAGTGCTTGCCTAGCATCAGACCTGGGTTTGATCCCCCAGTACCAGAAAAACAAAATGAGCTTAGAAGTTTGTCAGGTCTAAGATCTCTCCAGTGCCAAGGAGCTCTCAGGTTGGTAGAACATGCAACTCCCAGGCCACTTCCATTCATCATAAGAATGGCAAACTTCTACCACCACCAATCAATAAATCATTAGAAAGGGGCTGTCAGGAGCACTTTGGAGAGCTGGGAATATATGTCAGTGCTTGAGTGAGGCCCTAAGTTATTCCCATGACCCAACAAAGAAGCTGCAGCATCTCTGAGACAGGGGCTCTGTGGCTCTCAGTCCTACAGTCTCGCTGTAGGCACAGCTTTGGGGAACTCTACTCTCCCACGCCCTTGAGTGGACAGCAGCTCTTGGGCTCAGTTTTTTAGAGTGTGTGAATTTCATGAGCCTTAGGATAAGAGTGTCTTTTTCTGGACCCAGGACATTCACCTAGAAACTCAAAAGTCTAGATCAGAAGTATTTAGCTTCTAACGTGTTTATGAATTGCTTGAGAATTTTACCCCAGTGGAGATTCCGAGTCAAGAAGTCTGGCGTAGAGCCTGGAACTCTGTGTTGCTTTCATGTTCCCCGTTGAGTAACAAAAGTCTAGATTTGTACTGTCCAATACATTAGACGCTAGCCACATCAGACTATTTAAGATTAAATAACATTACAAATTTAGTTATTTGGCTGCACGTTAACCAGATGTCAAATGCTTAGTATGCACATGTAGCTGGGGGTAGCCATGTTGGACCATACAGAGCATATTACCATGATCACAGAAGGTTCTATTGGACAGCCCTGGACCAGAGTGAGTTCTGTTGCAACATTCATTCGTTCATCCATCCATTTTAATCACTGAGCGTTTGCTACATGGTGAGTAGGATGCGTGTTGCTAGGGCATTAAGGCAGTGGATCCAGGTAGCAGAAAAATCAAGCAAAATTATCCCAAGCTGACTACAATGCAGTACCTTGAAGACAGAGATACCCCCAACATGGTGAGGGCTCTGGAGATGGTAGCAGTGAGCCTGTGGCAGGTGGGAAGAGATGGAATCGCTCCTTTTAGTGCATGGTCTGTCTGTGGTTGTCCCAGAGTCAGGATCCTTAGAAGGTTTGGCTTCTGACAATGCATTTTCACCATTTCAGGGCCATAATCATCAGAAATGGAGAAATCATCCCCATGTCTTCGGAATTCACCCCTGAGACTGAGCGACAGCGACTTCAGTACCTGGTAAGTTGTGTAGGTCTGGCAGAGGACAGAGGTGTTGGGGATGGTGTCGGAGCTGTTTGAGAGGAGCACGTTGCTGGGACATGAGAGCAGACCCACCACAGTCAAACAACATATGGTATTAACTCCCCCACACACACCTTCTAGATCACACATCCTGGCTCTGTGTGTGATAACATACTCCACCTCCGTGAATTTATTATTGCGGCTGACTTTCTCCCATCTGCAAGTAACTACAGACACAATGTGCTCTACTTCTTACAAGCGTTCACTGTGCACACTGTGAAGCGCTGTTCTGAAGGATGCAGAAACCTTCTTCCCTGGTTTGTGACTCACTTGAGCTCTTGCAGTTTACCAGAAGCAACCTCTGCCCATGGGAACTGAGATCCCCGCTGACCTGCCATGACTTCACACTTAAATAGGAAAGCTCAGGTTCCTGGGGGACCATGCAAGTGTCCAAAAGTCTGTTTCTACACTGAAAAATGCACACTCCCTGTAGATCATCCTCTTTGGGGTAAAATTATGGGAGGGCTTGGAAGAGCTTTGCTCTATTCAAAAATCTCAGTTTTATGGAAAAGCAGAATAAAACTCTTTTCCTTGTCCTCAAATTCCAGAAACAGAGTGTGTTAGACTTTAAATCTCTGATAAAAATTGACTTTGATGCCATCCCAAATCCAAGTTACTTTGGGGTCAGCATCTCTGAGAACTAACCCTGCAGATGGAACTCAGTGGAAGAAATATTTTCAGCCTAGCAGGATTTCTTTCAAGACAACAGAGCTCCAGGAGTGACCGTAGTAGCTCTAATAAAAGAACAAACCCATGCTGCTCACAAAGGACTTTTCTGTCTCTGAGTCGCAGCAATGTGGATACTTGGGATTTTTTTTTATAAAGCATTTAAAAAAAATTTTTATATTCATTTATCTTTGTGTGCATGTGCACGCACGTGTGTGTGTGTGTGTGTGTGTGTGTGTGTGTGTGTGTGTGTGTAGCTGAGACGACACTCTGTGACGACAATCTGTGGGAATCAATTCTCTCCTCCATGTGGGTTCTAGGATCAGCCTCAGGTCGGGCTTGGCAGCAGATGTCTTTACCAGCTGAACCATCTTGCCAGCCTGACAGGATTTGATTCCTTTAAGAAAGTAACTATTCATGTTCCCTCAATTCCCTGGTGAATGTTTTGTTATAACTCAAGAATGTCAATGTGCTGGTTATCTGGTATATGAGATAATAAGAATCCAAAAGTAGCATAAAACCAATGCTCCACAGGGTGTGATGGCACATGCCTTTAGTCCCAGCACTTAGGAGGCAAAGGCAGCTGGATCTCTGTGAGACTGAGGCCAGCCTGATATACATACCAAGTTCCAGGCCATCTGAGGCTACAGGGAGACCCTGTCTCAAAAAACAAGCAGCAATAACAACAACAACAATAAAAACCAATGCTTCATCTTTTTATCCAATTCTTGTTTGTTTGGTTGGTTTTATATTTTTTTGAAACAGAATCTTAGCCCAGGCTGGCTTCAAACTTGTAGCAATCCTCCTGCCTCAACCTCTTTATTAATTATATATCTTGTTGCTGTGACAAAATGCCTTCACAAAAGCGACTTGATGAAGCAAGGGTTTATTTTGGTTCACAGTTCCAGTGTACAGTCCATCATGATATAGGTCATAGGGTAAGGACTTGAGACAACTGGTCACATTATATCCCAGGCAGGAAGAAAAGAGAAATGCATACTAGTTCTCAAATCACCTTCTACCTTTTATTGTATCCGGAGGTAAGTGTAGGTATCCCTACACCTTGACTAACCCATTCTAGAAAATACTTCACACATGCCCATTGATTTGTCCCCAAGGTGATTCTAAATCCCATCAAGTTGACAAGATGAACCACCACAGCCTCCCTCCCAAGAGCTGGGATTACAGGTGTAAGCTATCACACACAGCTTTCTAATATTTGTGGTACTGTCTTCGAGTGTATGTGCTTGAAGCCACCACTGGGAGATCCTGACTTTAGACCTTTTATTTTTTTGGTTGTCTGGGCAAGTTAAAAGGATGCTTTATTCTAGTCCTGACAATTGTTGCTCCGTGGCTAGATAGCTTTATGCAAGTCTCTTAACCTTTCCAGACCTTGATTTGTCACTTGTGAAATGTAAAGCTCATTGGGGGTATTCACCAAGGGCTCTGAGCTGCAAAGGTCCCTCCCAGTAAGTTCATGACAGCCGGCATCTCTGCACCTGTCTGGCTTTCTCTTTCTTCCAAGGCCATAAGTGATCTTAGCATAGACCTCACATACCCTGCCTAAAGCTTTTGGCTGCCCATGGTGTAAAGACTGCATGCCAGACTTGGGAGACTCAGAATCCTGGCCACTTCTCCAATGCTGTCTCCCTGTTGCCATCAGCACCCATCCTGAGGGGTCCCATGAATCAGTCAGATCTCTGTCTTCCCTTGCCAGCATACCCCACGGTCTCTCAGACCTATACACCTTTGGAATTTTGCTCTTCCTAGACAGTCTTTCCTGTCTCTGCCATGGAAATTCCTCCTCAGTTTTTAGATACCAGCACAAGTGGCATCTCCCCTAATTTTCTCGGGACATTAGCCCCCAGCGCTGGCACAGCAGTGTCCAGAGGCATGGCTCTCAATATACAGTGCTCATTGCTTTTTTCACATCTCTGGCTTCCTCTCCAAATTGAGTTCTGGAGAGTAGGCCCCTTACCTTAGTCACCTTGTATTGCTAATACTCAACCCAGCAGCTGGCACGGAGCAGAGTTGGACTGACTGAATGAAAGAGTTCTGGATCAGCAGCATATGGTGTTTTCCCTCTGCCTTTGCAAGGTTATTTCATCAGGGCATGAGGCCTTTGCATCCCTTGCACCCACATTAGCATCTCATCGCTCCCCATCCCCCATCAAAATCCATTTTTTCCTACTAGAGGCAATGAGTAACTAGGTTAATTTCTTGTACTTTTTAATTTTAAAATGATTTCATATTTTCATTACAAAAACAAACACTTTTAAAGGAGGATAAGAATGCTGAAATTATTTGGGGATAATAAGAATAAGATCATGCGGCTCTGTATCACTTCCACAAAGCACTTCGTCGGTCCCTAATCATCAATTATAGGGATAGAAAAATCTCAGAAGGCCTTGTAGGGATTAAATAAAATAATACATACAGAGTTCTTTTATGCTGTTTAGTCCTCATTGGCTCTTATGTGATAAATCAAAGTTTTGACTCTTCAAATATGTCTCGGTCTATCTAATCTAAAACAGAATGATGACAAGTAGCTGACTTGTAAACAATGGAAATTTGTTGCTCACAAGCCTGGAAGCTGTGAAGTCCAGGATAAAGGCCCTGGAAGTTTCAGAGTTTAGGGAGGACTCTCCTGCTTCACAGACAAGTGGATTCTTTTTTCAACCTCATGTGACCAAAGAGAGAAGGATATCCTTGAGCAACCTTTACCCCAACCCACCTCTCCACAGCCTTACCTTCCTGTACCATCCCATTAAGGGTCTGACCTCAGCATATGAAATTTGAGAGTATGCAGTCATCAGTCCAAAATCCTCCTGGCCTGCAAGCCATTTCACCCTGTTTTACTTAGGAAACACTTCTAATGTTGCTAAGATGAAGGAATATTTTGGAGTCTCTCCTGAACAATCTGTGTGACTACTATTAGTTCACAAAACTTAGCCTAATGTTAAATTTCTAAAAGATGAGAATATTACCAGTTTTCTTCTTAATTCCTACTCCTAAATCAGATAGATTTCTCTAGCTTATAACTAAAACTTTTCTCCTAGACATGAAGATTGGGCACAATCAGACTTTAAACTGCCCTAGTTGTCCAAGTTCTTATTCATTCCAGTCTAGGAATGTGTGCTTTGAAATGACCTGCTCCAATCATAGTAATCACACGATGTGAATATTTGTGGAAAAGTATTTGAGAAGGTTAGAATATTTTAACATAAGATAACCTTGAGGTGAAATCTTTATGATAAAATATTTGTGAGAATTAGGAGGTTGATAGCATAAAGTTTTGAAAATAGTCTCAGCTATGAGAGGAAAATCAGTATGACTTAGAATTCTCTCTCAGCCCAGCCATGAGCTGTGTGACTCCACCCCCTCCCATAACACATGTTCTCCAAAGGAAATGAAAAGTAACCCCGTAGCAATATACAACAGGTGCCCCTCAGCTTACAGTATGGCTCAGTCCCTTATAAACCCATCATAGTTGAACATACTCTAAGTCAAAATGCATTCAATATACCTAACTTACCAAACATAGTAACTAAGCTTTGCCTACCTCAGATGTGCTTGGCACACTTACATTATCCTACGATATGGGGAAGTGATGTAACAAACTGAGTGTAGTGGCACATGCCTGCAATCCCAGCATTTGGGAGGCAGAAACAAGAGGGTTGCTGCAATATTAAGGCCAGCCTGAGTTCCATAGCAAGACCTGTCTCAAAAAAAATAACAGGCTAGGTGTGGTCATGCACATCTTTAATCACAGCACTTGGGAAGCAGAAGCAGGTGGATTTCTGTGAGTTCAAGGCCAGCCTCATGTATACAGCAAATTCCAAGCCAGAAAACATACACAGTGAGATCCTAGGGGGAAAAAGACCAAAAACAGAACTCATCAACACAGTCTATTTTATAATATAATTAAGTGCTGACCATCTCAACACTTATTACACTTAATAAGCTACTGAAGTAAAAATCAGAATGGTTGTAAGGTATGCTTTTATGCCACGATAGACCCCAAAGATCATTAAGACCACCCATTGTAAGCCAGGGACCATCTGTATGGTTACTATCATAAGATTTAAATCACATCTTCTCACACTTATTTTTTTGAATATCTGTTCCCTTGATCTAATTGTGAGCCATTGGCGCGATGATGGGTGGAGTATCCTATTCCCTTGCATGATCTCATCCAGTTAGTACACTGATAGAAAATCAAATATCTTATTCTTGGTCAAATCAAATTTTCTGTTTATAGTGTGTGAAGA